TAATATGGTTATTGTTGGTTCAGTGTCCAGACATACATAGTTGTTGTAAAAGATACTATCAATCGCACGAAGAGGTGTCCTTGGCTTATATGCAGCTGAATAAGTGTGTTTACTGAAATTCAAACCTTTCGTGAAACTGTAGATACATTAACCAGTATTTGTGAACATTGACACTTCAAAGCAGATGAGTGATGAACTGAAACGAACAATGACATCTTTGCACCCTTTCCTCACTGACACAAATGTGCAATCTCTTCCCATGTGGTATCATTGTCTCAGATGCAGTCCCTCTGGGCACATCAAATTCCTGGGGAAAAATAGTGGGACATAAAAAAAAACATTAATTTCATCTACTGCGATCCCATTCACACTCAATCCTCGACTCTGAGTATATGCACTACATCTATTTTGATTCATTCATCTTTTACTTTTCTACCCGTCAAAGGGGTTTATTGCTTATTTTCATCACTTTTGTCACAGTGTAAGGCCTACTTATCGCAATTGAGAGGGCCACCCACATAACTCACACTGGACAGGGGGCTCTTTCACTGCTAGTATGGGGTAGACAAGACAATAGTTCTGGAAGTGAAATACACACACACCAAAATATCGAGTTAAAGCTCCTTGCTTTAATACCTCTCAAAATATTTACAAGAAATGAAGCACAGAAAATACAATGAATAAAGTCACTAAAATAGGGGATTGCTTAGGGAAGTGTGCATTGGTGATAACTCACAGTTCCAGGATGTATTAATGGACGACAGTCAATGGCTTGTATTCTGGAGGGCACCGCTGAAAGTAGGAGATCGCAGAGCAGTTCATACAAGTCTCATAGAATGATGGTTGTAGCCTATATCACTTGTCAAACAATATCGTTACGGTAGCAGAACACACAGGAAAGCAAGTTGAAATTATGAACGACAGCTGTCCCGAGTTTGTCTAATTTATAGGCAGTGACACCACCTGGGTTTCCACATGAGCCAATCAGAATAAAATCTTTCTAGCAGCTGTGTCACGAGAGAAACTCAATAGATCATGAACATCCTTTGTTATTCAAATAACAGCACACCTGGTAGATTCTAATTCTCCTTCCAAAGTTGTAAACACCCTTTGTTATGTAAATTACAAGCACACCCGTTAGAATCCACTGTCCTTCCAGAGTTGAAAACAAGTATGACCTGTTATGACAGTTTTCACAATGCACACCGTTTCTTCCCATGGTTCCATGCGCACTTCCATTTGCAGGGTTTGAGGTAATATGACAAAAACATAAAATAAAGGATGCTGACAACTTTTAAAATCAACCCTAAAAGGGATATTGTGGTATTTTGAAAATATATTTACCTAATAAACAAAAGTTCTTCTCGCATAGACAAAATTAATTCCAAATAAAATTAACTCTCTGGGGGATGTCGGCATGGACGTAATGTTGTATAGGATTTTCTGGTCCTGAAATTGCTTGTACTTGAGTTTAACCAGTTATCCCGCACATAAATAAATGAATGGAGGCCGCTGCAAGTATCAATGTAGTACACAACTGCCGACGCTGGCTCTATCAATTACACCTTCCACACGATGCGTAACGGAGTAACAATATCGTCATACCTTCAGGTTTATTTAGGATAACTTTCAGTTCCTTTCTTCAGAAAATAAAAAAAACAGACGTCATTCGGTTCAAGTTGTTATTGCTTCTTCAACGAATATGCCACCAGTCCACAGACTCTCGATAGTATAATACAATCATGAATGAGCTTGCGCACGACAAAATTTACCAGTTACTTGAACACGCAACATACATTAATGTCAACCGTCGTTTACGAAAGGTTCTCAAAATATTTGTATTGTTCAATCGTTTGTTTTCATATTGTATTTATTGTATTAATTAAATTTCTAAATAAAAATTGAATGGTTATATATTATAAGAGGCTTAGAGAAGCTCGTTTAATTGAGCGCAAATTCGCACAGGTGCGTGGTAATCACCATATTGGAATTCAACACCATCGGTTATTAACTTTTGACAGGTACATGGTATGCACACGCACAAATACTAATCTCAATAAATTTATCGCTACATGCATAGTATGGCTTGCTGACAAAAATGTGACGTGTGTGAGCATTTTTTCTAATACATATGCTGCATACAGTCGATAATAAGTACTGTGTACATTGTAGATGCATACCGTAGACGGCATACAAAAGCGTCCTGTATATAATCGGGTGTTTTACCTTGAAACACTGAATGTGTGTTTGTTTTCTGAAGTGCCTCAAAATGAAACAGTATCAAAGAGATTTGTTTTAGTTACTCCTATGAACGTTTGTACATGTCATGTACGTAAACACTTATAAAACATGCATAGTCGAATGTTTTATCTTGAAACATTGTGTGATTAATATTGCATATGATTTATCAAACAAAGTCACATTAAGATAGTTTGTTATTTATACATATATCACGGAATACTTGTACAAAGTATATTACAGAATGTGCTGGTTTAGCCTGGTAAAATCAACTTGAGGAATCAGTGCAAAAAAGATACTTCTAATTTCAGTGGATGGGAAAAATTTCTGCAATTCACTTTTCAGGCTGTACGATGATTGGTTATGTGAAAAGTGTGTCGCATGTCAGGGGTCACAGAACGTGGGAAGCGCGATACAAATATGTGATTGGGTCAAATATTTCTAAGAACAACAATGAGAAACAAAAAATAAACATAATATTTTTATTGACTTAAAGAGAAGCGTGTAATCATGTTCAGTCCTCTTTAATATTTATTTGTCATACGACTTATCTCCCGGTCCCGGGGTTTTACTAGGCATGATATCAATTTCTTCTCATATTGTACAGCACATTATACATTTTTTCGACTACGAAGTTGTTTTTCAAATATTGTTTTCCATGTTATATATATTCCTCAATATTATATGTCTTCTTAACTTCTAAGTTCAGATTGTAATTTATATTGAACTGATGGTACAAAGTGCATTTTTGTCATGTATGTATTCAATATTTGGGAATTATAAATAATTGCATGTCAATCTGTATCATGTGTGATTCATCTTTATATCATTATAAGCAGTGATGCGCTACACCAGTGTCAACCAGACTCAGTCCAAACACATGTAACTAAAGACCTTAAACTATGTTTGGTTAGCTATAATATATAGTATATGAGACTGAATCAGCAACTTTCGTATGGGTGGAAATTGATAAATATCTGACCTGGGATAACCACATTTCAAAGATCAATAAAACTATTAGGAAAAAGACGGGTATCCTTTTAAAATTAAGACATTATGTCCCCAGGCATATTCTCCTTTTGTTATACAAAACGTTGATTCAGCGTTGATTTATGCCCACATTAAAATGATCTTGGCTATCGTCAGTGTAATATCCTAGCTGTTTGAATAATAAATGTTTAAATAACATATGTTCCTTACTAAACTGTAGTGATGATGATAGTTATATTTTCAAAAATACATTTATGCTAACAGTTATTTAATTGAGTCTGTTTTCTTCTTCTTAAATTGGTCAAGATTGAGGTCAAATCACAAAGACTCATGGGTAATATGGATTCGGTTTTATATATAGCCAAAGGACACTTTTTGGATTTCAGTGCAAGGGTATTTCTGGATAAGTTTTGGTAAACAAATGTATTGCTTAAATAACGATCAATTATTCTCGATGTCCAAACATGCACAGTGTTCTATTGTAGATATTACATAGAACTTATACACATATGTGTTATGTAGAAAATACCTGGAGCATTATTGCAGATAGAGATATTCAACCAGTGTTTTATTGAAGACATTTTGCTCATAATCTGAAAAATATATTTAATACCCATATTTAGTCATGAAAACTATTTAGAAATGCAGTATAAAAACACTAGTATACCTGGAGTATTATTGCAAATAGAGACATTCAACCAGTGCTTTATTGAAGACATTTTGCTCATGAACTGAACAACATATTTAATAATACCCATATATAGTCATGAAAACTATTTAGAAATGCAGTATAAAAACACTAGTATACCTGGAGTATTATTGCAAATAGAGACATTCAACCAGTGCTTTATTGAAGACATTTTGCTCATGAACTGAATAACATATTTAATAATACCCATATATAGTCATGAAAACTATTTAGAAATGCAGTATAAAAACACTAGTATACCTGGAGGATTATTGCAAGATAGAGACATTCAACCAGTGTTTTATTGAAGACATTGGGTTCATGATCTGATCAACATTTTCCGATATCCATATATGCGGTACACATGCATAATTAACATATCCGGATCACTATTGCAGATATAGGCGTTTGATAGAGCTCATTAATTTAATTTGTGTTTAATATTTAAATAATAACAAATGCTTGTGAGGGTAATATCACGATTTGTTGCCTGCCCAAGGGATGGTGGTACTGACCTTAATATTGATGATGCCAGAGCTGCGACGTTTCAGTGGCGGCTTTGCCGTACATTTTTGCTTCATATAAAAAATACCATAACCATAAAAACAGAGTATCTTACTTAATATTCATTCTGGCACGTTCACTGTCCATTTCGAATGGCTAAAGTTCCTTCAAAACCTTAAAAGCAACCCCGAAAACAACAGCGGCCGGGGCAGCACCAGTGCAGGAACGACAATTTGTTATGCGCAGTATCGTTGCGCAGTAGTTGCAGTGACGGCATCCATGTGATATACCCATGCAATATCCACTTGGCGGGCAATATACCATGTAATATCATTTGTATTCAATGTCATGTGACCGAGTCTCAACCGATCACAGCATGCGTAACAAAAGTGAGATGTGATAAATTAATATATTGTCTGGTTTATTGCACAAAGGCACCATGGGACCTGAACAGAATCCAACACAACCAATAGTAGGACAAGGCACATTCTATAGCTTGGACAAAGACCATAATGTAAGATGTCACTTCGATAAAGTTGGTATATCAAATGGGATAGCCTGGAATTCAGACAACACGATTATGTACTTTATTGATACACCTCTAAATAGAGTTGATGCATTTGACTTTGATCTTGAACAAGGAACGTTGGGTAAGCATTAAACCTATTTTGGTATTCACACAACACATATTCTTGGACTGTGATGCCCTGTGATGATTAGGTGCACTGTAATGTGTTAATTTTTTTACTTTCTGAATTGTAATTTGACAAAGTGAACTAAAATTTCCATGAATTCGATAATTTATAGCAATTATGATTAAAACAAATCTACATTTGCCGAAAAAAGGATAGAACACATACACACTGTAAATAAAAAAACGAGACCTGTAAGAAACATTGTTGACATTGATTTTATTGTTTTTATATGCACTAGAAGTGCTTATAAATTAAATTGAATGCGTTGTATATCAGTATATTCAGACTTATTTATTTTGCACGTCAAAATACATAACAAATAAGCCCATGCGCTAGCAAAGAAACAGCTGCAATAGACAAAATGCAAAATGTATTGTGTAGTTATTTAAAATATGATACACATAAATGTAAATTTATTTTGAATAAAAGTAGTTTTATTGTGGTGAATATATACTCCCATGTTTTAAATATACCTTAATTATTAAATATATAATATATAACCACGCAACTGGAGGAATAATTTTTTGTTGTTCATTCTAGGTAATCGAAGAACAGTTGTCACATTTCCAGATGGCAATGGGTTTCCTGATGGTATGTGTACTGATGTTGATGGAATGCTTTGGGTTGCCATGTTCTATGGCAGTGTCATACTCAGAATCGACCCATTATCTGGTGAGTAATT